ATTGCAGCGTGGCAATCCCCCTGGCAGGTGATTTCTCACTTTCTGTCTCTCTGGAGAGCACAAATGTCCTATAGCAGAAACCTCTCTTCAAAAAAATTTTTTTAAAAAGAATATTCTGGCTTCTGCACCATTTCCAGTGAAAATTAGGAAATTTAATTTCAGGTTACCTCTAAATATTGATAGTTGGAATAATAATAATAAGTGATGAGTGTTTTAAGATGGCTTTGATCTTTTTTTTAATGTTAGCTCTATAACACGTTCATGTTATAATTTAAAAAGCCTAACTGTAGTTCTTGTATTTAGCAAAAATATCTTAATACAGTTACAATTTTTAAGGTTTTTATTTTCTTACATGAGAGCAATTAAGTTTTTTTACTTTATTTATGATAGAGCATATATGTAAATACATGACACAAAGAGATGAACACCCTCCATGGAGTCTGGTCGGTCACATCACTGTCCCTGTCCTCTTGTCCATAAAATTTGGTGTACTTATGTGTGTGCCTGATGTGTTTCAGGCTGACCAGGCTGGGGTTTTGAACCATAGTCTCCATGTGGGATCTAACCTCTTGTGCAGCAAGCACATTGCCACTGCACCACAAAGCTAGTCCACACAGTCGTCAATTTTAACCACAAATTTACCTGAGACAGCATCTGTGTTGACGGTAAACAGAGTTGTGTACTCATAATAATTCACCAAAAAACTGCAGATGCCAAAATATCCAAGTATTTAATCTTGTTACTGAAGTTTAGAACCAGTTTCGTTCCGTTGGGGAGGCTATAGAAAAATAAAAGCTCTGCATCTCACATCTCAAATACACTTATGTGGACATGTTACATGTCCTCCCTGCCCTCTGTTCTCTCCTCAGAATATTAGAATAATGGCCAAGTATTACACTCGGATAACAATGAAAAGGATGGCACAACTTCTGGATCTGTCTGTGGATGTAAGTACTGACCAGTGTCTGAATTTTTTGCAGCCGTTCATGTTGATGAGCAGCTGACTTACTAAAATTAATTGAAAAAATCAGTTTTATTAAAGTTTAGGTCATAGAAAGTTTCCCAAGCTAATCTGAGTACCAAGAAATAGTCTGTGTGAAGCTTATAGTTGCATTAAGATTATTTATGCTTGGGACCAGCAGTTAGCATAATGGCTATGTTGCTGGACTCCCATGTAGTCAACCATGGTTCGAGTCCTGGACCCGGTGGCTTCAACTCCCACCGGGCGTGTGTGCATGCGTGCCCAAGATCCTGAGAGGAGAATGGAGGAGAAGGGATTGCAGTGTGGCCATCCCCCCCTGGGGGGTGATTTCTCGCTTTCTATCTCTCTGTCTTTCTGGCGAGTGCACGTGCCCTATAGCAAAAACCTCTTTAAAAAATTATTTATGCTTGTTAAACTCTTTACTTAAGGGCTAGCCAGTGGTTAGTTGAGGTGGCCAGGTCCCACACAACCGACAGTACAGTTCTAGAGCCAGACCCAGTGACTTGAAAAACACGTGAAGTTGCATGTCTGTATGTGCCCAAAATCTAAAAGGGGGAAATAAGGAGGGATTGCAGCGTGACCACCCCAATAAGGAGGTGCTTGCTGTCTGTGTATCTCTCTCTCCCTGGCAGGCTCACATGCCTGCCCTCTAGCAAATTTTTAAAAAGAGAAAAAAGAAAATAACAATTTTTACTTATGTATGGTTTTCATTGATTAATTTGAAGTTTAGAACCAGCCTCATTGCAGTGATGAACTTTAGGTAAATAAAAGTTTTATGTGTGACATTTGAATTTAAAGTCTAAATTATCCATATAATATGTTTAGGCTACTTCAAAGATGAACTGCATGAATTAAATATATGAGCAAGACTTAACTGCAGTTCACTTGAAAAGGTGCCAGGCCTTGTTAGAGTAGAATTGCGTTCATATTGGCACGTCACATTGACGAGATGTACAGTGCAGAGAGAGGGGAGTTAATGAAGTGTGTAGTAATGGCCTGAAAAGCTATTCTGTCACCAGAAGAGGTTGTGACCATTTGGATGAAAAAGAGTACTCAAGGAATGTTAGAACTGGAAGGTGTGGGGACCAGCGGATAGTGTTATGGTTACATCACTGGACTTGCACGTAGTTGACCACGGTTTGAGTCCTGGACCCAATGACTTAAAACTCACGCCGAACACATGTGCATGCATGCATGCCCAAAATCCTAAGAGGAGAATGGAGAAGGGATTGTGGCGTGGCCATCACCTCAGGAGGGTGATTTCTTGCTTTCTGTCTCTGTCTGTCTCTCTGTGCACACGCCCTGTGGTAAATATCTCATAAGAATAAAAAAAGAAAAGAACTGGAAGGCTTGATCCATGGTTAGCTTGGTAACTTTTCTCATTTGTGGATGAGTACAAGTGTTTTTAGAAGTTAAGTTTTTTGTTTTTTGTTTTTTATTTTTTGGAGTGGTTTTTGCTATAAGGGTGCGTGTGCTTGCCAGACAGAGAGATAGAAAGCGAGAAATCACCCCCCAGAGGGGATAGCCACGCCGCAATCCCTTCTCCTCCATTCTCCTCTCAGGATCTTGGGCACGCACACGCGCGTGCCTGGCGTGCGTTTAGGCCACTGGGTCCGGGACTCGAACCGCTACGTGGGAGTCCAGCGACATAGCCATTACTCCAACTGCTGGTCCCAGAAGTTAAGTATTTTGTCCAGGGCTACATAGTTGCCAAGTGGTACAGCTTTTTTTTTTTAAGAATTTTTTATTTTATTTTATTTATTTATTCTTTTTTTTTTTTTTTTTTTTTTTTTTGCCCGGGAGGGGGGAGAAAAAAATCTAGAAACAGATTAACTATACCAGACTGCCTTTCAAGAGGGCAGAGAAGGGAGAAGACTAACAACTAACTCTCTGTCACTCCGCAGTACAGCTGTATGAAGTTGTCTTCTCACGCTTCCTGAGTGTGCAGTGAGACAGAGGCAGACTCAGCCCTGACTCTTAGTCACCTCAGATTCTGTTCATAAATAGACCGTCAGTAACATAAGTACATAATTACAGGAAGCCAGCCCCTGCTAACTGTTAGAATGAATCCGTGTCCTCAGATGAAGAGCTTTAAAAATTCTCTCCTTCACTTTGGGTTATTGTCTATAATTATCCTGTCTTAACCAATTTGTCTTTCTCTCTTGCAGGAGTCAGAGGCTTTTCTCTCGAATCTAGTAGTTAATAAGACCATCTTTGCTAAAGTAGACAGGTTGGCAGGAATTATCAACTTCCAGAGACCCAAGGATCCAAATAATTTATTAAATGACTGGTCTCAGAAACTGAACTCATTGATGTCTCTGGTTAACAAAACAACACACCTCATAGCCAAAGAGGAGATGATCCATAATCTACAATAAGGGTCTGAATGCTTTTAGAAAAGAGTTAAAATTGGAAGTCATTAAAAAGAAAAAGAAGAAAAAAGACTGTTATCATGGTGTATATGTTGGGGTCTTTTTCTATTCTCAACTCCTTTGTGTAAAATTTTTAAATAGTGAATATGTTTGAGGCCCCTTTTGACCTTTCAGTTCCTGGATTTTATTGTTCATGTTGCGTTTGCAATTGCTGCAAAATTATAAAACATTTCTGTTTGAGTACGCAAAAAAATTGTGTCATAACTTGCCCAAATGTTTTTCTGTCATTTAAAACCTTGATAGCTATTATTTGTTTTCATTCAACTAACAACCATATTATAATAATAAAAGTAGTATGTGCACATTTACTTTCTATAGTTACCTCTCTTTCTAAACATTTTGTGGGGTAGTGATTTGACAAGTGTTTTTTAAAGTAAATTCTGTTGTCAAGCTTATCATTTAGTAGAATAAAAAAAGCAACATAGAACATACAGGAACACTGAAACAGAATATTCATTTGTGAAGAATTTGTATAGGTTGATGATCCCTAATCCAAAAATCTGAAATGTCCCAAAATCTTTAAAGTACAAGTATGGTGGCACAGGTGGAAATTTTCACTTCTGACCTCATGTGGTAAGTCACAGTCAAAATAAAATATTATATAAAATTATCTTCAGGCTATATGTATAAGGTGTAGATGAAGCATAACTGAATTTCAGACTTGGGTCCTATTTCCAGATATTTTGTTTCATATATGCAAATATTCAAAAATCTAAAGCATGTCTGGGCCCAGGCATTTTGGATAAAGGATCTGCAACCTGCATTTTGGTATTGTGGCAGAAGAGCTCTAGACGAGCGTGTGGAGCCATCTGGTAGGCTGGAGTGTGTCTTGGTTTTGGTTTTGGTTTGGCTTGGTTGGTTGCTTGTCTTAGCATCACACTGATTTCAATCACAGAGGCATGATTGCTTAGCCCTTCCCCTAACTTGACCAGTAACTTAACAAGATCACGTGACTTTGTATTGGCAAAGGCTGTTGGGTGTTAAGTCCTCTCTGTAAGGATAGTGACTTTTGTGGGCCCCTTCCCGCCCTTGTTTTTATGAAGCTTCTCTGTGACTTTAACTTATAGCTCTAATTGCATCATTAATGTTACAAATTCATAATCTCTATAAGAACTTTAGTTCCATTATTGGAACACAGGATAACCTAATTTTTAAAAGAATGACAAAGACTTCAGATCACTTTCATAGTAAATGGCATAGTATTAAAAGTTTTTTACAGAATTAAAAGTAGTTCTATTGTCAAACATTGGAGATTAATTAGTATGAACATTTTTGAAAGTTTTTTATTTTATATACTCCAGAGATAATAGAAAAATTAAACAATGTTAGAAGGTTATTTAAAATCTTTAAATGAAGAAAGTGTGAGGTCTACGTTAAAAGATATGTAAACATAGAGGCATTCTGGAAGCAACATTGCTCATAATTTCCATGTAAAGGGATATTGTCACTAAATTGTGTTAATTCATGATCCCAGGCTAGGGACAGTTTACAGATCTCTGTAATATTTATGCTCTGAGTCCTTGTGAGTGATGACATACTTCATTAAAGTAATCTTATTATATTTTTTTGGAATTTGGTGCATTGGTCACATTAATAACATCAATATCTGCTAATGTTAGTAGCAACCATATGGCAAGTGTAGAAACAGAAGTTTGTAGTAACTGTGGTTTAAATTTTCTTTCGAATGGAAAGGATAGAAAATGAAACCATTTCACGTTGTGAATTGGTAAAGAAATTTGGAGCTGATGTGGGTCGAACGTCTCGTTAACATCATCTTTCTGAGGAGTCCCCTTTGGGTTTGCCTAAGCTGGACTGCTCCCCCAAACTCTGCTCTGGTGCTCTCAGCGCCCACCGCCCCGTGCTCTGTTACACACACTCATCCTCAGAGTAGCCTTTTTTGTGTGAGGATTGGGTGCCATTTAAGCTCTGTCCCACTGACCGAATTTCACATGGCTTGATTGGCCACACTTTCATTTCTTGTGTTTTTCTGTCCAACTTGTTAAGCAAACATAAGAGTTAACAATCAGTTTCTTAGTGTTACAAAATACAAACAGCATAAGGTGGTGAAACGAGATATTCAGGACCTAAATCCTGATTGACATTTCAGACCTAAAGTTGGCATTCATGGAAAGGATAGACTCACTGTTTTAAATAGGGAGAAGACAATATTTGATTCATTATCATTTTCACTATAAAGTACTAACCAGCAGGGGAGGTGGTGAGCTGTTGTTTTTCTTGTGAAATACCTTTTGTTTCCATATAGTTTCTGTTTTTCTTTTAGAGTTCAATTGCTATTTCTATAATTATCCTCCTCAATTTCCATATGCTTAGTTTCAAATCAGTGAAAAATTCTTTGAAGTTTATATAATTCCATTCTGTTTCTTGCAATTGTTAATAAATGTATGATGAAAGTACATATTTTAAATTGTTTTCAGCCCCTGGATATAGCAGCAATAAAAACACTAATTTGTGGGTATTTAAGAAAACCTGGAGAATAAACTCATACTTTAAAAAGGTCATTTCTCTTTCAGTTCTTTTACTATTTAAAACAAAAGACCATAGTAATTATTTTTTGGCTTCCCAAACTCATCTATCTCTCAAAACTTGTTTTTTGTTTTCTCTTTAAATTTGCTAGAGGGAAGGAGAAAGGCCCCACACACACACACTGCAGTGGGGCCTGTCACCTACAGTTCCTTCTCCATCTCTTCATCCAGGGGTTGTGGGGCACACGTACACACACACACACACACGCGCATCTAATTTTTTTCTCAAAACACTGGACTGGGATTCCAACCACATGCTCAGCCATGTGTGATTCCAATCCCTTAACCACTGGGCTGTGGGGCTGGCTTCTCTTTTTTACATTTATTTATTTATTTATGTTTAGTTTTCTCCGTAGGGTGCATGCACTTGTCAGAGAAAAGACAGGGAAAATGAGAAATCATCCCCCAGGGGGTATGGCCACACTGCAATCCCTTCTCCATTCTCAACATTTGGGGCACACGTGCCCAGTGTGATTTTCAAGCCAAAACAAACCATTGGTCAACCATGAGGGAATCCAGCACCTTAACCACGAACCTACTTGCTGGTCCCATGGCCTCTTTTGTTAATTAAGACTTTTATTTTCTATTTTTAGAATTCTTTAACTTTATTTTTTTATTTAATTTTAATTTGACCAAAGAGTGAGGGAGGGGGTGGCGGGAGTAAGAAAGCACGCCACCAGGTCTGGGACTCAACCACTGTCAGCCATGTGGGAGTCCAGCACCCCTTAATCACCATGCCCCAAGACTTTTTCTTTTTTTAAAGATTAATTTCAGGCCTACCATGGGACCAGCAGCTGGTGTAATGGCTTTGTCGCTGGACTCCCATGTAGTTGACTGCGGTTCGAGTCCTGGAGCCAGTGGCTTAAACTCAGGCTAGGCTGTGTGTGTGTGCGCGCGCGCGCACCCAAGATCCGGAGAGGAGAATGAAGTGGAAGGAGTTGCGGCATGGCATTCCTCCTGAGGGGGTGATTTCGTGCTTTCTGTCTCTCTGTGTGGTGAGTGCACATGCCATAGAGCAAAAACCTCTCCAAAAAATAATTTTTCAGGCCTAATGCAAAATTGAGCAGCAAGTACAGAGGATTCCCATCCCTCCAGCCCAAACATGCACTGCCTCCTCCATGGTCAGTGTCCCCCACCAGACAGTCTGAATCTGCAGACATCGTTATCACCTGGAGACCCCAGGGTTTGTTACTGGCGTACATTCTGTGGGTTCGGGCAGATGTTTAGTGACATGTGCCCACCAGTATAGAGTAACAGTATTTTCAGTGCCTCCCGAATCCGCTGTGATCTACCTATTCATACCTCTTCCGCCTAACATCTAGCAGCCACTAAGCTTTCGTGTCTTTTTTCTTGAGAGGTTTTTGTTATAGGGTGTGTGCGCTCACCAGAAAGAAAGCGAGAACTCACCCGCCAGGGGGGATGGCCACACCTCAATCTCTTCTCCTCCGTTCTTCTCGGGATCTTGCGCACGCACACACATGCACCCAGCATGAGTTTTAAGCCATCGGGTCCAGGATTCGAACCACAGTCGACTACATGGGAGTCCAGTGACATAGCCATTACACTAACTGCTGGTCCCAAGCTTTGGTGTCTTGATAGCGTTGACTTCCAAAATGCCATATAGTGGGAACCAGCAGTTAGCATAATGGCTATGTCGCTGGACTCCCACGTAGTTGACCACGGTTCGCGTCCCGGACCCGGTGGCTTAAAACTCACGCCGGGCGCGTGTGCGTGCGTGCCCAAGATCCCGGGAGGAGAATGGAGGAGAAGGGATTGTGGCGTGACCATCCCCCCTGGGGGGTGATTTCTCGCTTTCTGTCTCTATGTCTCTGTCTGTCTGGCGAGCGTACGTGCCCTATAGTGAAAAAAAAAAAAAAAAAAAACCTCTCAAAAAGCCATATAGTCAGAATTAATATACAGCCTTTTCAGATCGGCTTCTTCCACTTGGTAATATGCAGTGTCCTCATGTCTTTGGAGGCTTGTTAGCTTACTGTTTCCCCCCCCCCAACAGAAAGAGGGAGAAACTGAGAAATCACCCTTCAAGGAGGGATGGCCACACTGCAATCCATTCTCTGTTCTCTCTGATTTTGGGCAAGGCGTGCACATGTGCCTAGCATATTTAATTGAGTCCAGGACTCAAACCACAGAATCGGCCAAGTGGGGCCCACCTACCGGCTTACTCGTTGCTTTGTAGCACTGAGTAATACTCTATTGTCTGGCTGTATCACAGGTCACCACATGCCGAGGGGTACTTCCGTTTACCACAAATTTTGGTAGTTAAAAGTAAATCTGCCATAAACATCTGTGTGTGTATGTTTGTTTAGAGACATTTTCAAATTCTTTGCATAAATCTAGACATGTTTTTAAGCAGCAGGAAATCGTTCTGCACTTTTGTATCAAAAGCCACTGACTGGCTTTTTTCCCCGTACACTCTTCTGAACTTAGCGTTGGTGACCTAGGCCATGTCTTCTTGTGCACGTGACTCTCCAACTTAACCCACATTAGAATTCCTACAGAGCTACTTACAACACTGATTGCTGGGCTTCACCCCAAATTTCTGACTCTTGGTAGGTCTGGGGTGGGACCTGAGTTCTCTTCTTTTTAAGTAAATATCTTCCCTGAGAGAGGGGAAGTGTCCCCAGCAGTGTCCCCACGCAGCAGTCGACCACGAGTCTCACTGGCCTTGATCGTGGGCAGGTGCAGGCCAGGCATCCGGGAGGTCCCAGGGCACAAACTTGGCACCTTTCTCAAGCGGGTCCAGTTGTGTTACCGCTGTTATCACCCGCTGGAACCTCAGGGGCTTTCATTTCTTTTTTAACACATTTAAAATGTTTATTATTTCTAAATTCTCTGTAAGGAACTTGCAGTCACTGGAGAAGAGAGACAGGGAAAGGGAGAGAGCAAGCTGCCAGGTCTGACACTGAACTGTGTCAGCCTTGTGAGAGTCCAGTGCTTTAACCACATGCTACCTGCCAGCCCGAGGGCTTTCTAGCAGGTTCTCAAGTGCTACCCAAACTGCTGGTTCATAGCCCACACTTTCAACGCTACTCCTCTTGACAAGTGCTAAAAAGAACTGTTGGCTTTATTTTTTTTTTAAAGGGTTTTTTTTAGGGGAACCAGCAGTTAGCGTAATGGCTATGTCGCTGGACTCCCACGTAGTCGACCACGGTTCGCGTCCCAGACCCGGTGGCTTAAAACTCAACGCCGGGCGCATGTGCGTGCGTGCCCAAGATCCCGAGAGGAGAATGGAGGAGAAGGGATTGCGGTGTGACCATCCCCCCTGGGGGGTGATTTCTCGCTTTCTGTCTCTCTGTCTCTCTCTGTCTGTCTGGCGAGTGCACACGCCCTATAGCAAAAAACCTCTCCAAAAAAAAAGAGTTTTTAAAAATTTAACTTTCTCTCTCTCTTTCTCTTTCCTCTTTCCTTCTTTCTTTCCTTCCTTTCCTTCCTTCCCTCCCTCCTTCCCTCCCTCTCTCCCTTCCTTCCTTCCTTCCTTCCTTCCTTCCTCCCTTCCTTCCTCCCTTCCTTCCCTTCCTTCCTTTTTTACCAGAGAGGGACAGAATGAGATACAGGAAAGTGAGAAAGCAAGCTGCCAGGTCTAGTACTCAAACCACAGTCAGCCATGTGGGAGTCCAGCTCCCCCAACCACCATGCCACCCACCAGCCCCTAAAAAGATATTTTTATGAGGAAAGAAAATGAATATGATCATCCGTATAGACAGGTGTGATAGTGAAGCTACAGTGTAAGGCTTTACCGGTGCCAGCTGTTGAGTGATTAAAGTCTGGAAGTCAAACCACAGAGTTGGCCCTGTGGGATCCAGCACCTTAACGCCACTGAGTGGCCCTCCAAAAGCCCCATTTTGTAAAGCTTGTTTTTCCATGAGAAAGAGAAAGTCACCCCTAAAATGTTCTTCGTGAGGCCAGCAGGTGGCATGGTAGTTAAGGCACTGGATTCCCACATGGACAACCACAGTTCGAGTCCCAGACCCAGCTGCTTAAGAGACACACTGGGGGCACGTGTGTGCACAGAATCCTGAGAGGAGAGTGGAGAAGGGGTTGCAGCATGACCATTCCCCTAGGGGGTGTTTCTCACTTTCTCTCTGTCTCTCTCTGGCGAGTGTACACATCCTATGACAATCTAACCCAAAACTAAAAAGGGTACAACTGGGGCCACAGGTGGCATAATGGTTAAGGTGCAGGACTCCCACGTGGCTAACCACAGTTAAGTGCTGGACCCAGTGGCTTGAAACTCACACCTCTGTGTGTGTGTGCACGCTCAAAATCTCAGGAGGAGAATGGAGAAGGGATCGGTAGTGTGGCCATCCACCCCTGGGAAGTGACTGCTCATTTCTTTCACTTTCTCTCTGTTTCTCTGGCAAGTTCACATGCATCTACGGCAAAAACCTTTAAAAAAAAAAAAAAAAGAAAGAAAGAAAGAAAGAAAGGAAGGGAGGGAGGAAGGAAGGAAGGAAGAAAGGAAGGAAGGAAGGAAGAAAAAAAAGTGCAACGAGAATGCTGACTGGAGATAAAATGTGACATTAAAATGTACAGCAGGACCAGCAGTTGGCGAAATGGCTGTGTCGCTGGACTCCCACGTAGTCGACCTCAGTCCAAGTCCCGGACCTGGTGGCTTGGACTCATGCCAGGCACGTGTGCGTGCCCAAGATCCCGAGAGGAGAATGGAGGAGAAGGGATTATGGTGTGGCCATCCCCCCGGGGGGTGATTTCTCGCTTTCTGTCTCTGTCTTTCTGGCAAGCGCACGTGCCCTATAGTAAAAACCTATGAGCCGGGAACAGCAAATGGCATAATGGTTACATCACTGGACTCCTAGATAGTTGTCTAGGGTTCAAGTCCCAGACCCAGCAGCTTGAAACTCACACCGGGCATGTGTGCCTGTGTGCCTAAGATCTCTAGAGGAGAATGGAGAAGGGATTGCAGCATAGACATCCCCCCTGGGAGGTGATTTCTCGTTTTC